TGAGGGTTTCTGAAGCTATGTAGAGTTGAACGTGGAGGGTGAGAGGTTTGGGGCAGTCACAGGAGAAAGGGTTAATTAACTAATGCAGCTGAATAGTCTGCTGCCTCTCAGTATCCACCTGCTTTCACAGGGCTCTGCTCCCAGCTACCTTCTAAGTCCTGCCTGTGGCTGTCGGCAGGACACTCAAGGCTTTGCAGTGTCACAACAGCCAGTGTTCCATCCTAGGCCCGGGGTGGGAGTAGGATGGGGTGGGTGCTGAGGCAGGAGGACTGTGAGTTTGAGGCCATCCTAGGCACATAGTGGGACTCTCAGAAGGCAAAACAAAACAAAATGACCTACACCACAAAGAGTCTTACCTTAGCGTTTTCATGGTGTTTCCTCAGAGACAGCCAGCATCTGGGAGTAGAGAAGTCGGAAGTAGAAGGGGACAGCTTTTGGGGGGAGTGAGTCACGCCTGTGCTCACGGACATTCTGGACACTCGGAGCCTGAAAAGTGTTGATGATTGGGTGCCACACCTGCTGCAGTGAGGGCTGCCCAAAGACCACAGCAGTGCCCAGCAGAGGAGGCTGGAACAGGCCTGACATCACAGCTGGGCACAGGTCACTACCCCACATGTCAGGAATTCTGACATTCTGGGGAGCACACTGGACCTGACTCCCTGCAGCTGTGTGGGATGGGCATTTAAAACTGTTTAGTTACCCAGGAAAGCATTCCCCAGATCACTGAAGACCTTCGAGCACTTACATTGTGCATCAGTTTAATCATATCACACGCAATTCTGTGTGGAGCTCTCCGTGATAATGTGAAAGATCCTGAAGGCAGGAACAGCATGGTGTCTCCAGCATAGCACTGATAAAAAGTAGAGACAGAGAAACAAGTCCAAAGTAGTTGCTCTAAGGCCGGCAACCAAAACACCGAAAGGTAAGATCGCCCTCTAGGGGAATCTCTGGGGCTAAAGTGAGGGAAAAGGCTGATTCGTAATCTGTGCAAAGCCCTAGGTTAGATCCCTAGTACTAAAAAAGAAAGAAAAGAAACTTAGAAAATAGAAATATCTAAAGTATTGAAAAGGTATTCATATAGGTCAATAAGGGGCTGGAGAGATGGCTCAGCGGTTAAGAGCTCTGGCTGCTCTTGTAGAGGACCCGGGTTCAGTTCCCAGCACCCAGATAGTGGCTAGCAACCACCTGTAACTCTAGTTCCAGGGGATCAGACACTCTCTTCTGACCTCCACGGGCATTGCATGACACACGTGCACCTACGCATATGCAGGCAAAACACTCATACACATAACATAAAAATAAAGTATTCAAACAGGTCAGTATTCACAATAAATATAATTGGAGTGCAGCAAAGCTAGTGTCATACACTCACGGACCATTACATCTTCCTGAACACACAGCTAGGCTACATTTCAGCACCCTGCCCCTTGGGGGGGCCGTCCTTTACTGTTTGTTGTTGGGCTGTGAGCAGAGCCAGCCTGCAGCCTCCAGTGCAAAGCAGCAGGAACAGGAACGCCTTCCCAGGCTCTCTCTTGTAATGCTGGAAGTAAAGTCTTTCAATCATGGAAGGCAGGTTGGAGCAAGAAGGCTCTCATGTAGCCTAGGCTGGCCTGAACTGGCCATGTAGCAGAGGCTGGCCTTGAACTCCTGGTCATCCTGCCTCTATCTCCCTAGCGCTGGGATTATAGGCATGCACCACCATGCCTGGCTCATGAGGCATTTTCTGGAGAGGAGCTGCAGTGGGACCAGCCTGCCTTGGACTGCACATGTGTAAGCAATAAGTCTGTGTTCTGTTAAACCACTGAGGCTTCAGGGTTTGTTTTAGAAGCAAGTCTTTCGCTCTGACTAATACAGTGCATGAGTTGAACGCCAGTGAGAAGAGAGGTCATCAGTCTGAATCAGAAACAAAATCTATCTTTGGACATTTATGAGGGTGACATCTAGTGCTTAAGTACATAGATAGCAATAACACAGGATGGAGAAAGTTAAAGCAGGCGAACAACAACAAAGAAAGCAGCTGCCTTAATATCGTAGGGGACAGAACTCAAGACAGAAAGACTGTCGGGGTAACTGGGAAATCCCAATTGACCAAAACTGTAATAATTCCAGAAAGTAAGTACCTATCAACCTAAATGAGCACAGGAAAAAATTGATTTTACAAACAGACACAAGTTAAAATGTTAGAAATTTAAGTAAATCAACCTTAGTTATTTACAACAGGCCCAAAACAAGGAGAGATACGACAGAACAGCAACGCATTGCATGTAGTACAGCGTGCAGATGCATTGGTCTGCATCCCACAAACACTAATCACATGCCAAGCCATAGCACAGAGCTCAATAAAGTTCAAAGAAGAGACATCGCAGCAGCAAGGTTCTTGAGTTCTCGCATCATGTAGTTAAGTTATAAGTTAGTTAAGAACAAAAATATATCAAAAAATAACTCTAACTGGATATGGTGGCCCACACCATTAATCCCAGCACTCAGGAGGCAGAGGCATGAAGATCTCTGTGAGTTCGAGTCCAGCCTGGTCTACATAGTGAGTTCCAGGCCAGCCAAGGCTACACAGGCGCACGCACACACACACGGCTCCTATTTTTTAATTTTTTTTTTTTTAAAGACAGGGTCTTCCTGTAGCTCCAGCTGGCCTGGAACTCGCTATGTAGACCAGGCTGGACTCGAACTCACAGAGATCCACCTGCCTCTGCTCCCAAGTGCTGGGATTAAAGGCGTGTGCCACCACACCCGGTGATTTTTTAAAGAAAGAATACAGATGTATCAAATGCACTGGTACACTGGTACATTCCAAGAGCATGGATGTATCGGGTACACTGGTACACTGGTACAGTCCAAGAACACGGATGTATCGGGTGCACTGGTACAGTCCAATGGCAGCAGGCTGGGCAGTAATAAGACACCTGTAGCTCATCTTTTTACATTCGTTTTCATCTTCTGATATTTTTGACATATTTGAGATGTTGGCCCAGGCTGTTCTCAAAGTTTCACAATCTTCCTGTCTCAGCCTGTTCGGTGCTGAGGTTACAGGTGTGGGCCACTAACCCACCTAAAATCCTGTCAGAACAAAACAACCCCACTCAATTTTTCCTGACCACAGAGGCCATGGTGTTTCTCAGGAGTTCCAACACTCACCCATCTCATGCGGTGTCCCAGGCTGTGGCTCCGGCCTCCCTGGAGAAGAGACAACGGCAGTGAGGGCAGGACCCGGCCATGATGAGACTTGGTCATCCACACCCAGCATCGACGGAGAGCTCATTGTGCCGGCACTGCTCCGGATACTGGGGAACAGAAAGAGAAGCAGCTGAGGTTAGGGTCCCTTACGCTGTGCACTCCTGTCCTTTACTGGCTCTAATCTGCAGTCAGAAGCTGTGGGCTGCTCCCCTCAGAGCAGGAGCCACTTACATCTGGAGGAAAGGACACCGGGGTGGGGGAGGTTGTACCAGATGAGCCACGCAGGCTGCCCACGAACCACCCTGGGTGAATCTCACTCAGATCAGGATGAAACGCAGGAATGTGTATTTGCTGAAGAGCCAATAAATTGAATTGATGTAGATTATTTTTAAAAGTTAATTTGGCGGGGCTGGAGAGATGGCTCAGCGGTTAAGAACACTGAATGTTCTTGCAGAAGACCTAGGTTCGAATCCCAGCACCCACATGGCAGCTAACAACTGTCCGTAATTCCAATTCCAGGGGATCTAACAGCCTCTTCTGTCCTCCGCGGGCATTGCATAACATGGGTGCACTTACCTACATGCAGGCAATACATGCATACACATAAAAATATAAAAATAATAATTTTTAAAAGTTAATTTGACACATATCTGCATACTCATGGGCTATGTATAGTATGATCAGATTTGTGCATATTTATGGGCTACAGTGTGATCACATTGGTGCATACTTATGGACTATGTATGGTGTGATCACATTGGTACATACTTATGGGCTATGGTGTGATCACATCTGTGCATACTCATGGGCTATGTATGATATGATCACATCTGGATAGACAGTGCTTGGTATCATTCATAGTGCTAAGCCCTTCCAGTACCACCTGTTGACAGGGCTCACCAAGAGGCAAAAGCCAGGGGGCTGTGCCCACATGGCCAGCCTCTGGGGACCAGAGTGGGACATACAGGGCAAATGCAGACCATCAGCACCCTCTGCCCGCTCACAACAGTCCAGAGAAGCTCCCTGAAGCTCTTCCTCAGAGGGAGGTCTCCAGCAATTACACATTCTTCCTTCCAGGGTGAAATTGTTTTTTTGTTGTTGTTGTTCTTTTTGAGACAAGTTCTCCCTGTAGCTGCAGCTGGCCTGGATTCGCCAATGGAGACCAAGCTGGCTTCGAATTCACAGAGATCTGCCTGCTTCTGCCTCCCAAGTGCTGGGATTAAAGGTGTGCGCCACCACGCCCAGCTGAAATAATATTTTTTAAATGACTTACAGATTTAAAGGTTTTTTCACTCTACGGTGTATCCAATGCTTTCCTTTAAATTTTTCTTAGTAATATTTATTTCAATTTTTTACCTCAAATTTGTCCATGGGAACTCAGTGGGAAAGTAAGGTTCCCTATATCACAGACTGGACAGAGGCTCTGTTCCAGTCCAGGTGTTTGGTACTGAGGCTTTCCTTCTTCCTCAGAAAGCGAGGAGGAGGGGGCACTGAGATATCATGTCTCAGAAAACCAGATGGAGAGCGATTGAAGAGGGGCATCCAATGTTTACCTCTGCCAAGAGAAAGGGGGGAGGGGGAGGGGGAGGGGGAGGGGGGAGGAGGAGACCCATGAGCCAGGGTCCCCCCTCCTCCAAAGCAGAGGCTTCCTCCACTTTTCCACCCAAACTCTTTACTTCTTTACTCAGCAACAGAACTGTCAACTGAAAGTACTGCTCTGATTGGCTGCTTACAGCAAGGGTCTCCCCCTAACCTAGACTCTTTTTACCTCTATCTTGCTCTTACCACACAGACACTGTTAAAGCCCCCGGGGCAATGGCCCTCCAAGTGGTCTTGGGACTCCACATCATGATAACCTTCCTGAGCCCCCAAGAAACATGGGCCATCAAGGGTAAGTGCCAGGGTCATCTGGGGGTAGAAGGGAACTTAGGGAGACAGCACATGGAAGACTTTCCTCTCTGCCTGTGGTTCATGGCCAACTCCCTCCACCTGTCACATCCACGTGGACCTAAGTACAGGTGTAGCTCAGTTTGGCTGAGCCAGGCCTGCTCTGAGCATTTTTTACTTAGAGTCCTTGTCCTTTCTTTTATCTGAGACCCAGATCCCCCCTCTCCCCGACACTGCACAGCACCCTGACTCCTCTTCCACTTCCTGGCCTGCAACATGCCATTCTAGTCCAGCTCCTCTGTGGCATCTATCACCTGTCTGGACCTGCGCTCCTGGTATGCATGTGCATGCCACAGACTTGGATTTCCTTAGCCTGCATCATGCCAGGCACATGGTAGTCCCTTGGCATTCAACAAATAACTGAAAAGTTCTAAAGGGTCTGGGCAGTTGAAACATGGCCCGTGGTTTCCAGGAAACCAAACATTGCACTATGGAGTGAGACCCATTCAATCATCACTTTTAGATGATGTTGGGACATGAACTTGAACTCCTGACTTTGTCAGTGTACCTCATTTTGGGTCCCCCCCCCACCCCATGTGTGTGTTTGTGAGACAATTTAATGCAGCCCAGGCTGGCTTTGAGCTATGTAGCCCAGGCTGGCCTTAAGCTTCTGGTCCTCCTGCCCCAACTTCCAGAGTGTTGGGATTACAGGTGTGCCACTGCCCCTGGCTTCTGAGCTGCCCTCTCTTTTCCCCAGTCTCTGGACCCCGGATCTCAATTCATTCTCCTGCCTGTCAGCGGCTATTGTCCCTCACTCCGCCCTACACTGCCTGTCCTGCTTTGTTTCTCCATTGCTGTGACAAAACACTCTGACCACTACCAACCTGGGGAGGAAAGGGTTTACTTGGCTTACATCTCCTGGGTCACAGTTCATCTGGGAGCCCAAGGTAGGAAATCAGGGCAGGAACCCAGAGGCAGGAGCTAGCGCACAGGCCATGGAGGAATGTTGCTTACTGGGCTGCTCCCCTGGCCCTTGCCCAGCTTGCTCTCTTATCCAACACAGGCCTACCTGCTCAGGGATGGCACTACCCACAGTGAGCTGGGCCCTCCTACATCACTCAACAATCAAGAAAATACCCCACAGATATGGCCACAGGCCAGTCTAATGGAGGAAATTCCCCAATTGAGGCTCCCTCAACCCAGGTGTATCAAG